CTAACGAGCGTTTACGCTGACTGCCAGCCCCAAGTCTGAAACTCGTGGGTCAGTTTTTAACGAAAACAGAAGAAGAGAATCTGAAGTTAGAGTCAACATCCACAGCGTCCACGCTTGGTGTGCACGGTCTGTGCACGGTCTGTGCAAACATTTGGCTCTGTGTTGTGTTTCAAGAAGCAGGGAGGTGAGTCCGCTGCTCCCTGTTCACATCTACTGGAGGTTTTGGCTACTATACGGAAAACCTGGGATGTTTGACCAAACTACAGAATCTAAACTGGAGGCAGCATTCCCACTTATGGTGTCAGGATCACAGAGGTGCTACCTCCCCCTGCTCCTCTGGGGGACACTGATGTGGAGCTCTCACCCGTCTCTGAGGGTGATGGAGGACCGCCCTCTGAGGAAGCTCTTTCCCGCTGCTTGTATCCTCGGCCCTGTTCTTTCGCTCGCTGCTCTCGGGTGAAGATGGAAACAGAGGCTGTGCCGCGTGTCGTGTCCTCCAGTCTTTCACACACTGTCTTTGTCATGCAAGAGAAAATTTGCACGCGTGTCAATCATCTCTCATCACCGTCTAGCAGCTCGTGCAATCAACCAGCACCTGGAATAATAAACATTTCACTGCTGAAAGGAAGGTTCTCCAGGGAATCCTCCGGACAGCAGCAAAGCTTCGTCTCTGTCACTGCGTTTATACTTTTACTCTGAGATTTCATAGGAACCGTTTTTATCTGAACCGTCCGACGTGTCACAGACGTGTCACAGACGTGTCACAGACGTGTTAGACGTCACGTGTGTCAGTCAGGTGGGTGTGAGCGGCAGACACACAGTCGTTTTGTTTGACTTTTATGACACAATTTGATCGTTTCTAGCTTACTGCTAGTTTAATCTGCTGCTTTGTTATTAACATATTGGCTGTTGGTCACCTCCAGTCCGGCGAGACGGCGCTACACGTGGCTGCTCGCTATGGCAACGTGGATGTGGTGAGCTACCTGTGCAGCATCCGAGCCAACCCGGACCTGACGGACAGGGTGAGCGAGTGCAGCGACAGCATCGGAATAAGAACCGAGGGGTTGTTCGAGGGCCGCGGGGTTTTATCTTTACGTTCCACGTTTCTGTCTGCAGGAGCAGGAGACGCCGCTGCACTGCGCCGCCTGGCACGGCTACTCTCCGGTAGCCCGAGCTCTGTGCCAGGCGGGCTGCCACGTGGACGCCAAGAACCGCGAGGGGGAGAGCCCGCTGCTGACGGCCTCTGCCCGCGGCTTCGTGGACATCGTGGAGTGCCTGGTGGAGCACGGAGCCGAGCTGGAAACCACCGACAAGGTGCCCAGAGCTCAGCCTGATTTATTTTGGCACATTTTACTTTTACTTACTGTTGACTAACAGGTCTCACAGCACACAGGTCTCACCACCTGTGCAGATCACAGACACTGACCGTCTGTGTTTGTGTCTCCAGGAAGGACACACAGCTCTCCACCTGGCTGTGCGTCGCTGTCAGGTGGAGGTGGTCCGCTGCCTCCTCAGACACCGCTGCCAAGTGGATCAGCAGGACCGCCACGGAAACACGCCGCTCCACATCGCCTGCAAGGATGGAAACCTGCCCGTCGTCATGGCGATCTGCAATGCTAAGGCCAGCCTCGACCTCCCCAACAAGGTGAGTGCAAGCACTTCCCCCCAGACGGCCTGGATACGCTCCCTGAGGCGTTCCCAGGCCGCGCTGAGAGGACTGGTGGTTTCACATCAAGTTTTCAGGCACAGCTGTTCTCCTGAGAGCGAAGGTGGAGGTGAAGGACCTCCTCCTAACTCTGCGCTCCGCCCCCTCCCTCACATTCAGACACTGATGTTAGCGTGTGGGGTTTTTATTTTTCGTCCCGATGCCGTTAACATGAATACGCTTTCTGTTTTTACTCTCCTCTTACATAATCTTCAAGCACATCTACTTCAGCGCCAGCTCAGCGATGCCGGTGTTATGTGATGTGTTACAGCACCTTGATGAGTCAGGCCGAACGTGTCTCTGTCTTATAAAACACGCTCTGCGTGACCAACCTGAGTGATTGAGCTAGCAGCCTCGGCGCTGCAGCCTTCACCCTGCGGATCGTGCTGCAGAGCGTTTTGCATTACTGTCACAGGAGTCTTAGAAGCACAAGAAGAGCAGAAGTAAACGACAGCTAACCGAACCACACTCAGCTTGACGCTCTGCAGGAAGTGAGATCCATGAAGTAATCTTCCTCACGAAGAAGACTCCTTTAAATCGAACCCCATCAGCTCAGCTGTGAGTCAGACCTGCTCCACATTGACCACAGTTTCAGATGATGAGGTGTCTGTGCCAGTAATCCCTGCTCTCACAGACTAATACGGTCGCCTCACTTGTGTGAGCACAGAGCTCCGCCCACCTGCTGTTCGGTTTGTGAGGAACGGCCAATGAGAGGAGGTAAAGGAGTTAGAATAGTTTGACCTGAGAGCTGCTGCAGAGCAAATGTAGCTGAAGAAAAATAATTAAATGAGTGTTTTAGGTCGTTGTTTAGCAGCTGAGCTAAATGAGGCCTAATCGCAGGTGGAGCATTGATAAAAACACAGGAAGTAGAATATGACGCAGTGCAGGGTTTAGAGGTACGGGCTGTTTTCTGCTGACATATTTTAAAATCGTCTTTCCTCTGATATCTGCTGCCCTCCTCACACACCTCTGAAGCTCCCACCCTCTCGCCTCCCGCATGTTTCTGTCTGCGCTGCTTCTACTTTCTATTTTGACACCATACATTTAAATAGATTCTGCGACGGGGAAGCTTTTCTCGGCTTTTTCTGCAGAAACGTGTTTTCAGCGTCGCACAGGGAGGCGATGTGCATCGGGAGCAGACGGCGCTGCCAGAGACGTCGTGGTTCATTATTCTCAGCTGGAGCTCGTTTCTTTTAAGCTCGTGTGAAGCAGCGAATCACAGGCTGCTGACTCTGGGTCGGGCTTTGCTGTCAGCTGCAGACACCGAGCAGAGAAATAAGAGGGTGGGATTGAAACCGTCTCCAGCTCAGTTTGCAGCATCACAAAAACAGGGTGGATGTTCTTCCAAACTGCTGCAGAGGAGAATGAAACGCCTCCGTCACTGAGCTCTGATTAAATCCCAAAGCTTTTACTGTAAGACATCAACATCGAACTGCTCTGGATTTATGAGATATTGTGGTATGAAATTGATGGCAATTATATGGTGTTTCCAGTAATTAGCGTTGTTTTCAGGGCACTGTGTTCCTGCTCTAATCAGCAGTTTTATTCTTCAGGCCGAGCGACCGCAGCGGGAACAGCGAGCAGCCGATCAGCCCGCCGAAGCACGACCGTGCGCTTAATTAGGCCGAGTTAGCGCGAGGCAAGAGGGGGACGCCGTTCAGTGTTTGTTTAGAAAATGTGATAAATGTTGATTTCAGTGTTTGTGTCACTCTTTTTCCTCCACATTTGTGTTACAGTGACGGCAGCTTAAAGAGGGCCACGTTTTATTTTTGCCAGCTTTCTTCTGATTGGCTGCTCCTCATTAACAGGAAGTGGGTGGGGCTTCTCATAGAGAGATGTGCACCTGAGAAAACCATCAGATATCTGCTCTGTATGACATCACACAGAGATTATTTATTGATTTATTGAAAAGAACTGAACGTGAGCTTCTTAAAAAGCTTCTGCCTCAACATTTAAACTGAGCACGCTCAGAAGGTTTTGGCGTTTTCAGGAATCCTTATTGGAGCATTTCTGCTCAGCAGCCTCAGTTATTAAGACTAACCTGTAAGTGTCAAAGCGAACATGAATGATTGTGTGCGTGACTTTCACCGTGTCCGGCGCTGTGTGTGCTGAAAGCTGCTTCCCCTCTCCTCTGTGCATCACAGTCCGGCAGAACTCCGCTCCACCTGGCGGCGAACAACGGGAGCCTCGAGGTCGTCCGCCATCTCTGCCTGGCCGGAGCGAACATCGACGCCGTCACCAACGTAAGGCACCTCTCTGTTTTACCGCTCGGGCGGGTGCAGCTCGTCATCATCGTGATGAGACTCTGACAAACCCAGTGCAGCCCTTTGGTCTGTAGGATGTGTTCACACGTGACGCTGCTGCGATCTGTGACTGGAGTATGGTGGGGGCGTGGTCCACGCCGACACGCCTCATATAGTATGTAAATTGAAACGTCGCTCCCGTGCTTGTTCAGATATCGTTTGCGTGGCGATTGTTCATTTTCTGCTGGGGCTGCAGACGAAGGCGCTGCTCATGAATCCTCAGTAAAACTGGGAAATTCTTCTGGCATCGTTCCCTTACCTCCGCCCTCGTCTCCGCCCGGCTCAGCTGCACCACCTGTTTGTTTTTAATAATCTCGTCCTCTCAGAGGTTTTCAAGGCGAAACCTTCTCCTTGTTTCTTCTTTCTTCATGTTACTGACGTTCTCTCGACCTCTTGAACCCTGATGAGCTTCCTTGCAGTGTCCCATCCACTTCCCTCACAGTCTCTCGCTTTGAGCTCTTAAACTCTTATTAGCATATTTAAATCCCAGCCGGCAGTTTGAGAGCTGCACCATTAAATCAAATGAAAAGTCTGCTGAGGATTTTAAACATTAGTTATTAACATGTTTGGGGGCTTTAAAATTTCTCTTTGAAAGTCCAAGAAGTAAAAAACTGTGAGCACAACTTCAAGAATGTTTCATTTCTAAAGACGTTTCCTGTAGTTTACGTCTGTGGGGTCGTTACGAGCGCTTAGCTTTGTTCAGGAGATTGTGCAGCAAGACTCCTGTTTGTCACTGTGTTTGCTGCACAAGGCAGAAGAAAGCGAGCAGGAGAAACGGCCTCGTTGTTGTGCAGATGAGATATTTAAGACGAGTGAATCCAAGCGTGGATTTGGTGACTGCACAGAGACGTTTGTGCCGAGTCTGCGGCAGGTGAGGCGTTAAAGGCTTCAGCAGCCGCGGGCTGAGAGCTTTTATCCAAGCACTCGGGATCAAACGGTTCCACATTCAGCCCTGAGTGGGTTTGACTTCACGGATAAGTGGGAGTTCATGTCCAATCGTTTTAGATCCGAAAGGATTTTTATTTCTCGTTCAAAGCTCAGCGCTCTGAGCTGATGCTTCTCCACGCCGAAGGCCAGGAGATGACTTCGTCCGAGCCGCGTCCAGGATCCAAGTGGTTTTATGAAGAACTGTTATCGGGATTTTATAAATCAAACGTAATTGAAAGAGTTATGTCACGAGCTAAAATTTCATTTATGTGAATGTTAATGTTGATCGTTTGAAGTGTCTAACAAACAAAAACACTCGTGTCAAATGTTCGGTACAAGAACTGGACTCACAGTGAGCGAAGAAGCAGCCAAAGACCGAAAGAGACCTTCAGCACGTCAGGGTCGGCGCGTCAGCCTCCATCACGGGCGCCTCCCTGCTTCTCCTGCCAGAGCTCACAACATGACCTCAGTTGTTATTGTGCAGATGTTTTCAGCCTGTTCAGATGTGATTTCCAGATGTTTCCAGCGTTCTCGCCGATATCAGAAGTAACGTGTTTTTGTCCGTCATTGAAACTCGTCTCAGAGCCTCAAATCTAATTCTGCTCGATCCTGATGCATTATGTTCTTTCTTTCATGAATTCCATTGAATTGATCTGGTTCCAGCAGCAGACGATCCGCGCTGAGCTTTTTCCCGGGATGTTAATACTGTATGGCAGCTGATGTGCTGTGCATGTTTCATGTGGAGCGCACACTGGGATGTATAATTCAGTGTCAGGGAGGACAACGGTGCCTCTGTGATCTCTGCCTGGTTTTTCTGTGGAGGCTGAAATATTCTTCCAAATCATTCCAGCCTCTGCGATTTCACCGTTACTCGTCGTTCCCGAGCTTCCGTTTCAGCAGATATTTAGTCTGGGCTGGAAATACTGTGGATGATCTAATATTCCTCACATAACGCCAGCATTCATCTGTCACTGCCAGGCATCAGTAGTAGTAATCGTGACACTCAGCCATCTGTGTGAGGCGAGCACCGCGAGAGCGTCCACGCGTCTAAATGCTCAGACCTCATTTACCCAATCCAGTCGGCTCGGGAGGTCGACGATGTCGAAGTCCGATCGTCACAGATGAGCTGTTTGGGAGGAGGCGGCGGCGCTCTGTGGGC